AGCGCTGGGATCATCCGGCGAGAAGCAAACCCGCCCCCATGTGTAGGATGCAAAGAAAGACCGCATTCCGTCCCAATCCGCCGACCTGTAATGCCAAACACGGCGGCAACCTGCAGAACGCAACCGCGATGTGAGCGTGAGTGGCACCACACTCCGGATCAGACAATGGTCCGAAGAGCCGAGAGGGGCATCGACGGAAACCTGATATCCGTCCGGATGAGAGGTCAGCAGAAGGTCAAACAGGGAAGGTGTATGATCCTCCACATCTGGAATCCGCGTAGGCGAAGTAACCAGTTGTGTCAGACCATATGCCAAGGCAAAGTCATAAACAGATCTCCCCGCATGATCGGTTAAACGTGAACAGAGCCATTCGACATGGTGGGCGTTAAAATCGCCAAGGATCACGATCTCTGCGGATGGGACCTGTTGTAGCAAGGAATCTGTAGCCATTTGGACGTGTTCGATGAGTCGGTCTGTTTCGGCATTACCGCTATGGGACCTATAGAGGCACCCGTAGACGCGCGGATGGTCGTCGCTGTCTACGCGTAGCCAAAGGATGGACAGGTCCGAACCTTCAAGACTGCCGAGGCGTCGAGAACAGATGTCCTCTCTGACATACACGCAAACTCCAGCCCGAGGCACAAAGGAGTGCTCCAATTTGTACCCCGGGTAGGAGAGATACGAAATACCAGCCGGAGAGGAAACCTGCGTCTCGGTCAGAAAGAGCAAGGCCGGCTTCGCCGTCTCGAGATGGTAGTGGACGGCGTTTAGGTTACAGTGAAGTCCCCTGATGTTGCAGAAATTCACGGATATTGTTGTATTTTTGCTCATTGTTATTTTGCTCAGTGGTATTGTTGCTCAGTTTGCCCCGAGCAGTTATGTTTTTGAGCGGAATTTTGCCCCCCCAGAATACGCGGGGCAGCCTGAGCACCCACGCTCAGGATTGGAATAACATGGTCGCGGATGCTCAGCGAGGGATTCTCCAGGGGTACTGGTACCCTCCTGGGGTAGTCTATCGTGTAATTCCGCTACCATGTTGATGGTAAGTGGTTGCTGTGGCCCATAGACATCTACATCTATCCTCGATTATGAATCAAAATGCAGATAGGTTGTCACTCGTGAGGACTAAGATGGAATGCCTCGATTCCAGTAATAAGGGTCTCCGGATTTCTACACTCACCATACGAAGCACAGCAGCATTGAGCTGATATTTTACGCTGGTATTTTGTGAGAGCGTGGTCTTTCCCCAGTCGATCCGACGCATTCGTGCTACAACTATAGAACTAATATAGCTGCAGCATGGCTCTATCACGTTTAATGTTTAGTTATTTTAATAATGACGCTGATGCCATCTCCTGGTTAGTTTCCCTCTGTCGCCTTCTATGGATATTCCCCCACCGCCACTACACGGTATTCAAAGTTTGTTAGAATGTGTATTCGTTTGACGTCCTTTTATACCTTATGTAAAAGAAAAACGAAACACCGCAACTGAACGGCCGTCACGAGTCATTAATTTGACATTTTATCATTAAAACGAGTGCAAATTATGAGCAAACCTGTGCAAACAGCAAGAAGAAGACCAAACAACAATTAAACGGCCGTCCCGAATGAGCGCCCACACAATATTTAAACGCTCGAAATTAATTCTAAATACGCCGAGCGAATATTAAAAGGGGTGGAACTGTAGAGTAACAACACTTGAAGAACTTTAGAAATATGTTAATTTAATGGGAGAATTGCGTTATACAAAGTTTTTTTGATATATTTTTAGCATTACATATTTATGAACGTGGCAGCTCTAGAGCTCGAGACTTGACATAATTTTACACGCAAGCAACCGTTGTCTGATCCTCGCACATATTATTAACCTTTACAAAGAAAAAAAAAAGCAAAGGGAAGGTAACACGTGGAGATTCATCTTTATCGTGAACGCATTTTACACCATGCCAATAAGGCTCAATTTACATTGCGGCGGAATGGAAGCGTTTAAACTTTATACAATTAACATAAAACTCATTTTACTATGTACAATTTCGTTACCAAAATTCGCTTCCGTTCCGTTCCGTGACAGTGTAAATTGTGCCTTAGTTAATTCGTGGGAGAATCAAACCGTTGGCCCTATAAAACCATGGCCAATGGTCGCCCAGGGCAATGCTGCTGCCAAATGCTTAGCCCCTACGCTACTAAGCTGACGAATAAATAGATATTTTAAAAGCTGATTGAAAGAACTGATCTACCGTGTAGTGATCCACTACCACATACCGTCGCGTGGATGGCGTAAGAGGGGACAGAGACAGAAGCAAACAACAAACAAACCAAGAGACATTTTGAAAAATTCTGTATGCGGTCTCGTTTTGCTCGTTTGTACTCTCAATAAAGGGATAATTAAGGGCAAAATTTATCGGTTTGTTTGTTTATAATTTCAATGAAACAGAAACAGAAACAGAAACTTTTTTTATTCAATATAGATTATAAATAATACTTATTGAAAGTCACTCTTTTGTATGATTACCACTGGTTCGAAAAAAAAACCTCTGTCCTGGGAAGAACCAGCAAGAAACCCAGCGGGACTTTTTTTTTTAAATAACAGCTTACAATCATGTATGTTACACAAATTAACAACACAATAAATTAGAAATAGCTTGGTAGCGATCACCTCATTTCCAGGGGTTATTATCATCAATAAATTCATTAATATCATAATAACCCTTTTTATACAAACTTAGTTTAATAAAGTTTTTGAACTTTGAGCAGGTCAAATTTTGTATATTTTCTGGAATTTTGTTGTAAAAGCGTATACATCGCCCCAAGAATGAATTACTGACTCGATGGAGTCGAGTAACTGGTACTACTAGCTTTTGTCTGTTCCTAGTATTTACAGAATGGATATCACTTATTTTTGTGAAGCTACTTTTATTTTTGTGTACGTACATTACATTTTCATAAATGTATTGAGAGGCCAAAGTTAATATATTAATTTCCTTAAATTTTTGTCGCAGCGACTCTTTAGGCTTTAAATCATAAATTGCTCTTATGGCCCTCTTCAGTAAAACAAATATAATTTCAGTGTCAGCTGCGTGTCCCCATAGCAAAATACCATACGACATTATGCTATGGAAATAGCTAAAGTAAACTAGTCTAGCTGTTTCAACACTAGTTAGACTTCTAATCTTTTTTACGGCATATGCTGCAGAACTAAGTCTGCTTGCTAGTTTTGATATATGGGGCTCCATTGAAGCTTCGCGTCTAGTGTGATTCCAAGAAAAATGGTGGTATCTACAAGACTCAGTTTCTCCCCATTTAAAATTACATTAGCATTTAATTGTTTGACATTTGGAGTCATAAATTTCATACATTTCGTTTTAGTGCCATTTAAATGCAAATTATTAACATTGAACCAATTTACTAATTTAGATATAGCATTATTTACTTCGTCATATTTTAGCAATTGTCGACTTAATTTGAAAATTAAAGAAGTGTCATCTGCAAATAATACTATATCATGGTTATCTCCTACTATGTAAGGTAAGTCATTAATGTATACAAGAAACAGAAAGGGGCCGAGAATTGAGCCTTGAGGCACGCCCATTTGTACCATCGACCCGGAAGAACTCATACCGTTAATGACAACTTTTTGCGTTCTCTTACTTAAATATGAAATAATAAATTTAAGAGCATCACTTCTTACACCGTAGTGTTGAAGTTTCCTGATTAATGTTTCATGGTGAATGTATTATTAGATCTAGGAATTTCACCCGAAGGTTTATTACATACATAAATTGCACATGAATGAACATCTAGGCCTGGAACACTTATTTGTAGGCTATATTTAATATGTAGTTATTCTGCGCGGCCTTCTACACCGAGTCACGCAAAAAATGGCAATTTAAAACCATCACCAAAAAAAAAAACATTCAATACTTAATCAAATTCAATGATCATATTGGCGGAATGAAAATAAAACTCAAAAGCATGGACACCACAAACAGACGGTGAAAGTTAGCATTTTTGTGCAATAAAGAAATAAAATTTGCTACATCAGCGTTTCGACGAACACACGCTGGTAGTCGCCCTTCGATAAAAATCACGAAACCGCCCGCCGCGCCGCCCCGACCCTTACACGCAAAATTGACACTTCATATCTTTTTTATTTGCTCGTTCGCCATTCAGCCTTATCTACCGATGACAGTATTAAAATGGTTATTTGTTTTGTTAAAAATTGGACGTATCTTATATAAATTGTAGACGCATGAAAGGGGACGCTCCCTTCATATATTTTATGTTTCATTTTTAAACATGCCAGCTACAAAGGAAAATACTCGTATTAAGTTGAACGTGTAGAGATTAACTAATAATAAGGGATTTGCCGAAACGTTATTTTTTTAAAAGGAATGTAGCAGGATATAAAAAGTACAGTATAGACAAGTTTATTGGTTCTTTTTTACGTGGTAGAGCCACGCTACAGTTATGGTTGTAGCACGTATGGGTCGGCTCGACCGGGGAAGGATCATGCTCTCACAGAATACCAGCGTAAAATAGCAGCTTATATCTGCTGTGTTTCGTATGTCCTCACGGGTTACAACGCATCTGCATTTTGATTCGTAATCGAGGATAGATGTAGATGTCTATGGGCACCCTAATTCAACTTCAATGTTCACGCAAGCACTTACTATCAGGTGAACTGTGTGCTTGTTTGTCATCTTTATCCTGTGATAAAGAAAGGTTTACTAGGTGGCAGGTACCTACTTCTTTTCCGCCTAGCTGTCCGTTTAGGTACGTACCACCCTCTAAAACATTTCACGGCCAAGCAGTAGTGCATGTACAGCTTTGTTCCGATCTGCAAGGTATTGAGAGACAGTTCTCAGAGAGACAGAGAGTCCTCAGTGGTCACAACGCATCTAGGCAGCCTTATTCATTTGAACTTATTAACATAAGTTGATTTATAACTAATAAGTAAAACATATTTGAAATTAAACAATTTTAATATGCAAATGATTTATTTATTTCATTTCGTGTTCATTTTTCAATTTCTTCTTTTTCTTGGCAAATTTCTCCACGACCAGTTCAAATTCTTTATCATCCTTCAATCTTTTTGCTTCTTTCTTTCCCCAGGCAGTGTAGTCAGTGTACCATTGACGGTATTTTTTATAATCCTTAAAGATGAGGGAGGTGGTTTGAATAACAATCAATAGAACTCGAATATTTTAGTATCGTAATAATAATAATAATGTCCTCTAGACCGAATTTCGGTCACGGCGGCCAGCCTCGACGGATACTAACCAACGGCGCAGGACAGGATTATATTGCCCGAGTGTGTTCGCAAGCACAGGTGCACTCTCTATTCCCTCACTCTCATAGTCCGATGGGACGGTAAACCGACACGACCGGAGAGAGATCAGGCGCAGGACCAACGGCTTTTCGTGCTTTCCGAGACACGGGGGTGAGACACCGCCAACTTCCTGACTCCGGGCAGCTACTGACGATTTCTTGATGGAAAAACTCAATTAAACACTACACCAACGGGGCAGTCGAGTAGAGCTTAGTATCGTGTCTAATATATATATATATATATATACATCATAAATAATATCTTCCACGCAGGTGATAAAAATAAAGATGTAATTAATTTAATTTAATTTAAAATCTTTACTATAATGGTAAAACTCCCTAATTGGTTTAGTATGCGCGACTACTGATTATGAAGAGTTCTAATTCCGGGTTGGGCCCAAAATCAGATATTGGTTTTTTCTAAGAAATTCTCAGTAGCATGCCGGACTTATAAAGTTGGCTGTGCTTCACCCCGGGCCTCGGAATCATGTAAAGCTGTTGGTTCTGTGCCTGATTCCGATCGTGTCAGTTACCGTTCCATCGGGCTATGAGAGTGAGGTGATAAAGATCTGTGCTTTCGCATACTCTCGGGCATTATATTTCTCTCTTGTACAGATGGCTAGTTTCCGAAGAGACTGGCCATCGTCACCGAAATTCTGGGATATTTTTATTCTTTCCGCATAGTAACACCTATTTCTATTTAGTAGCACTGAGACGAAATAAATAAAATATTAATTGGTTGTTTGGTGCTAAAATCGTTCTCTGATTTCAATCAGGTTGTTCCAAGTCTAGCATATTACGACATGGTTAAACCTTTATCTATCGTAACTCAAATGTTCTAGCATTTCCTTGACATTTCTCTTGGTCGAAATCGAATCTTACAAAACTCACTGGACGGTCGGTTGATAATCTTATGAATACTATATAATATTTTTTATTCAATATAGGTTATTACATAATACTTATTGAGGCGTTTTTTTTTTATTTACCACTGGTTCGTAAAATACCTCTGTTCTGGGAAGAGCCAGCAAGAAACAGTGGGATTTTTTTTAAATTATAATTTTACAATAATTTTGTACAATTGACCAGCATGGTGGCGATCATCTCACTATTAAATTATCGGCCGACTTCCAAAAAGGAGACGGTACTCAATTCGACTGTGTTTTTTTTATGTGTGTTACCTCATAACTTTGTACTGGGCGAACCGATTTCGATGATTCTTTTTTTATATGAAAGCTGATAGTTCTCGTGTGGTCCCCTATGAATTTGATCAAGGTAGGACCAATAGTTTTTGAGTTATTCTTAAATAACTTATATTGAAGTCGGCTGTACAAAATTTTTAATTTTAAATTATTTTCATTAATGTATTCCTTGAAGTTATAGCAACCTTTTTTGTACAATTTCTTTAATAAACTTTTAAACTTACCGACTGAAAAACTTTGAATGTTTTGATATTCCGCTTAATATAATATAATTAGTAAAATGACGTACAATTGATTCCTCGCTTCCGTCACGAGTGACGTGGTCGACCAGCTCTCGCGGAGACAGCCCGTACGCAGCGATCCTTATTAAATATTTGAATTTGATTAGTTACGGCTCAAGACTATAACTTTTTAAAATTTAAGTACCTTATTTTTAGTGTTTTTAATAAAGTTAAAGGAAAAAGTAAAAAAAAAGTTTTATATAGGTTCATCAAATCACTACTAACAGTTTTATATTCTAAAACTTTTTGAGTGGACTAAGGATTACCATAAGTTCAAGATAACAACTGGAATGTTGTGTCTTAATATTTTACCTTTTGTGGTGGAATTTACTTACCTAAATTTATATGAGACTTTAGGTCCCCTATAAATTTAGATAAGAACTAGCTGTTCTCCGCGACTTCGTCCGCGTGTGATTTAGGGTTTTAATTATGTTGCGCGGAACCCTAATTCTTTTTCTAAAATATAAGTAGCTTAAGTTACTCCTTATAACATCAGCTATCTGCCAGTGAAAGTCCCGTCGAAATCGGTTCAGCCGTTTCGGAGATTAGCCGGAACAAACAGACAGACAGACAAAAATTTTAAAAATTGTGTTTTTGTTATAAGTACCGTATATACTTTCATATGCATTTAGTAAAAAGCTGGTATTTTGACATTACAAACAGACACTTCAATTTTATTTATTTGTATAGATAGAGTCTAACTAATTTAGATATAACTTAAAAAAACTCATTATAATTATTAAATCGATTCACAATTTACGAAGATATTGCTTGCTATATTATAAAAAAAAAAACAAAAAAAAACATACAGTCGAATGGAGATCTTCTTTTTTCAAGTGGGTTATATAATATTAAATTAAAACACTAACTTTAGTATATTTTCCGGTGTTAAAAAGCTATTAAGCGCATCTTTGAGGTATCCAAACGAGTATCCTTGAAGCACTTGCGCGACACTTTGTAAGTTCAAATTGCGTGGTACAATTCGATTGCTGTAAAGTTAAAATAGTTTTAGAGGTTTCTTTTTTTCTCCCTTCATTTTAGCTCTAACTATTATACTAGTCATCTAAAGATTTACAAAATACAGTGAGATACAGATTTATAGCGAATCAAAATGGAATATATAAATAACTTGACAAACATTATTAATATGATAATGATCATGGATGTAGCAAATACTTAAGTGAAATAATTTCAGGCATCTGTCCTCTCATCCGATTACAATGTGCGTTTTACCGTATTCAGTTACATCATCACTTACCATCAGGTGGAATAGTAGCCAGGCACTGTCTGATAACAATTAAAAACTACATATTTTGATATAATGACATGTGATTTTATTTTTATTGTCAAAATGTACTAGATTGGCTTAGGTTTTTATCGGTTTTGTACATATTTTTTTTAAAAACGTATAAGTTATAAAAAAATAAAATTTCATCATCTATCGGCATATCAGATTCTTGCAAATTTATTTTTAGTACCTACGTCTATCTACTAGTTATATTAAGTACGCGTTTCTATAAGAGTAAAAAAGTAAAGTAGCAGTCTAAATACGTTCCACTGGTAAGCATACTGAGAGGCATTACTGAGAGTGTTTTAGAACAACTAAGCAGAACCAAATTGTTTATAATAATGGCCTTACTAGGTGGGGGAGGACTCCTTTAACCTAGCGGTCTGTCTGGGTAGGTACCTGTCACAATATTACCTATTTCTGTCACCAAGCAGCACTGCTATGTTCTGCTCCGTTTTGAAGGGTATAGAGAGCCAATATTATATTCACAATATAATATTCCAGGCAGTGACGTCATCACAGAGTACTTTTTAATATAGTGAAAGAGGTATTCCATCCTAGTACTCTGAGGTGACAACGCATCTGTAACCTTTTTTTGAAGTTCGTTGCAGGCGTCCACGGTCGACAGTATCCAGTTACTATCAGGTGCACTGGAAGTTCGTAAGTCACTTTCAGTTTATAAAAAATAAATAAAATGATATTTAAAATCTAGCCGCGTGTAGAATGTAGAAATCTATAATTAAAAAAATATTATTATCAAAAATATTACTCAGTCATCCAATTTTTTAATATCATCGAAACCGTGGAATATGTAGATTCAGGTAGCATTATCACTTCTGGAAATTTCTTAAGTAATTGACCCGATTTTGTCAACCAAGGATCGTAGCAACTTCCTGAAAATAATAATGAATTAAATCTTATATTTGACATTTTAAACGTGGTAGAGCCATGCTGCAGCTATATTAGTAGTATAGTTGTAGCACGAATGGGTCGGCTCGACCGGGGAAGGACCAAGCTCTCACAGAATACCAGCGTAAAATAGCAGCTTAACACTGCTGTGTTTCGTATGGTGAGTGTAGAGAACCGGAGACCCTTTTTACTGAAAAAGAGGCATTCCATCTTAGTCCTCACGGGTGACAACGCATCTGCATTTTGAGTCTTAATTGAGGATAGAATGAGATATGTCTATGGGTCACAGCAACCACTTACCATCAGGTGGACTGTGTGCTCGTTTGTCACCCTATCCTATAAAAAAAATGCAGCGCAAGGGTAACCACGCATTTGCATTTTGATTTTAAGGATAAACACCCATTCTTCCTAATAGACAGACACCTTCATCTACATATTATGTTGTTGGCTACATTCCACAGCATTTGTTTACCAACAGGTAAGTTATATGTTCGTTTTTATATCTTATTGAGTGAAAAAATTTTAAATTACCAATTATAGTTATCATGTCAGTTTTGCGTATTTTCTTCATTAAGTTTTGTACGAAAAATCGTTTATACAATTCTAGGTTAATTTTGTTTTCGTTGGGTGGGGCCTGAAAAAAATGTAAAAATATTACAAAAAGTGAAAGTTCTATGTAGTTTAAATATAAAAAGTAATTTGGGATCGACAATCGATCCATGAAACCCCATTATTTTTGATAATGTATGACAAAATTAGCATAAGCGTAACTACATAATAATAATAAATAAAAATTTTTATACACGTGGTAGAGCCGGGGAAGGACCACGCTCTCACAGAATACCAGCGTGCGATAGTAGTTAAATGCTGTGTTTCTTATGGTGGGTGTAGAGAACCGGAGACCCTTTTTGCTGGAAACGAGACATTCCATCTTAGTCTTAGTCATTTTTTTATAGGATAGGGTAACAAACGAGCACATAGTCCACCTGATGGTAAGTGGTTGCTGTGGCCCATAGACATCTATTTATCCTCGTTTGCGTATGAAAATGCAGATGCGTTGTCACCCGTGAGAACTAAGATGGAATGCCTCTTTTCCAGTAAAAAGGGTCTCTGGTTCTCTACACTCATCATACGAAACACAGCAGCGTTAAGCTGTTATTTTACGCTGGTATTCTGTGAGAGCGTGGTCCTTCCCCGGTCGAGCCGACCCATTCGTGTTGCAACTATATACTACTAATATAGCTGCAGAATGGCTCTACCACGTATAGCCACGTATATCTTAGTCTTAGTCATTTATTCGCACGCATCTGCATTTTGATTCTTAATCGAAAACAAATGTAAATGTCTATGGGCTACAGCATGCACTTACCATCAGATGGACTGTATGCTCACTTTTCGCCCATATGCAAAAACAAACTGTACACTAATGGAATGTCATTTTGTGGCGATGCACCGGCAATTCCCCTGGTGTTTAAAGTGTTGACTAAGTGCGGATGTACAGACGGAATACATTGTGAAAATCTATATGGGAGGCTTAAGTTCAGCAGTGGACTTGTGCTGTGTATTAATAGTATTTAGTATCTAGTGGTGGTAGTGAAGTTGTTCATGGGCGGCGGTAGTCACGAACTTTTAAATGAGACGCATGCTAATTTGAACCTCTTCTATATAATTAAAATTTAAAAATTTTGTACAGCCGACTTCAATATAAATTATTAAGAATAACTCAAAAACTATTAGTCTGACCTTGACCACATGTGAAGTACCAGCTTTCAATTAAAAAAGAATCATCGAAATCAGTTCACCCAGTAAAAAGTTACGAGGTAAAGTATTGAGTGCCGTCTCCTTTTTGAAGTCGGCAGAAAAACGAAACACCATAATAATTTTACAGTAATTTTGTTTTATATTTTGGAATATTTTACCGGTGTTTCATTAATTGGGGCGATGTTATAAAACCTTAGTATGTTTTTTTTTTATTTTATTATGTATTTTCATTATCTTGATTTAGTACTAAACCTTTTTACAATAAATTTGATGAAGAGCCTTGATGTGAATAACGGAGGGCTGAACAGCTTTTGCGCATGTGACCACCGAGCTTACTGTTTGCCGCAAATATGCAGCCGATAGTACATCTTGCGAGATCTTTGACGGATCCAACTCGAACAGCATGGCATCTTAAATATAAGACAGTGTTAATTAAAACATTATTTTTTTATTTGGTGGTAGCGTCACGCTGCTGCTTTATATTATATAGCTCGTTTGGGAATGTTCACTCTCTATCAAAATACCAGTGTAAAATAGCACCATAATACCGTTACGTTACCTATGAATAGAGACGAGAACAGCTCGCGTTTTATCGGTAAAGTGGCATTCCATATTACTTCTCAAATTTTCTGTTAGAATCCGCCATGCTGATCCAGTGCAAGATATCCTTTTCCTTCTTTATTTTTTTCCTTTTTTTTTATTAATACAGACAAGATTATCCATTACGACAAGATCCATTACAGAATTTAATACGATTGGAATTGAAATTTGAGATATGTCTTCTAAATTTTGTTTAGTGTTTGATACATGAAGTTTCCACGATGTTTTCCAACACGGTTGTCTACAGGTGTAAAAGAAAGTAAGGCAACAAGCTAGTTACATGTCCTAATGCTCGGCATACGCCCTCTTTCTAAGAAAGTTGTAAAATATGGATGGCCTATTTAGTCTATGAAAAACCACGAAAGTAAAAAAATATAAATCCTATGATTTGGTTTATACTTGATCCTCCACGAGAGCCTTTATCTGCCAGGGTTCTCTTTTCATACACTAGCGGACAGTAGAATAACTATTACAAATACGAAAATATTTATGTTTGGATAATTTGTACTATTAAGTATTTTATGGCGTGGAAACAAAACACCACAAATAAAATAAAACCCACTAGAATGTTTATTAATATCTCTCCTAATATTAATAAACATTCTTGTAATTGTTCCACGTGCTTTGATTTTTTGCGTTTAGTTTTCTTTATAGAACATGGTTCAGTTAGCTTTTATGTTTCATTTTTGTTTAACAATGTAATTGTATTTTCATGGTTAAAAAATTACAAAAGGATAGTTAACGGAGTTTTTTGCGCTGTTCCTTCTGTCAGAAATATATTGATATTGAAACAGTATGTGATAGATTTAAAAAAATACATTTTAACAAAGTAAATTTTAATTTCTTGCGTCGAAGCAACATCTGAACTTTATAATTCATTTTTTATAGCTATGTTTAAATGTAAAGTGGAATAACGAAATGTGAAAAGCTTATGGTATACAAAATAAGTATTTTTTTTAATCACCGTTTACCGATGCCAAAATATGTACCAACGTTGTCTTCCCACTTCCCTGTGGTCCTATGAGTAGGATGCGTCGCGCTCCACGGTACAACTCATTACATCTCTCCCACCATAGTGATCTCAGTTCACCACCAAAAGGTAGAGCAGTTCTAAAATTATTGTCAAAGTCATGAATTTATACGTGTGATTCTTCGTTAAAGTTTATTATCATTTATTATTGTATATAGTATTAACGATTTTTATTTGCGAAAGGCAAGATATTGTAGAGATGGCACAACCTACTTTAAAAATAATAAACATTATAATAATCTATTTAAAAACAAGATTTTTTGACGTTGCTCGAGTAAGCATCCTAGTCAATCTTTAGATCACCTTCATGGTAAATATAATGCAATAGCATAGCGATTTTCAATGGTATCATATTATTTCAAATTCCTGCTCAAATGATTGTGCGAGTGCTTCAAAAGTTGATTACAAAATTCGAATCTAGTCAAAATAGATTACAGTGGACCCCCGGTAATCCGACAAACATTTTGCAGGGCAGTGTCGGACTATCGAATTTGTCGGATTATAGAGTACTGCCTAAGAGTACCTTGTAATCCGACAAAGATTCTATATGTTATATACATGTATTCTGAAATACAAATTATACTACATATGTATGTCAAATTTAGTAAATTAAACAAGAAAATAGGGAGCTTACATTTTATTATAAAATCAACGACATTTTTAATGCTATAGAACTAATGCAAAATATGCAATAACTTTACATTAGGAAATAATGTAAAGATGTTTTCTTCCTCGCACAACTTCCTTGTGGAATGGTTTACCACCAGCGATTTTTCCGGACCGATACGACTTAGGGACCTTCAAGAAAAGAGCCTACTCCTTTTTAAAAGGCCGGCAACGCATCTGCAATTCCCCTGATGTTGCGGTTGTTCGTGGGCGGCGGTAGTCACTTACCATCAGGTGAGCCGTATGCTCGTTTGCCCCCTCTCCTATAAAAAAAATTAAATAATTGTGTACAATCAAATGTACATACTAAAATAATCATAATTTATGAATCAAGTTATAACTTGTTCAATCATGCATTTGCGAAGATTATCAAAAAATATCTAATAATAAATAATAGACCATGTCGGATTACAGGGGGTGCCGGATTAGACAGGGACCGGATTACCGGAGGTCCACTGTAGTTAAAGTAGATATAAATGGGAAAGAAGCAAGTAAAATAAAAGTGTATAATGTAATTAAGTACAAGCGAGGGCTTTAGTACCATGTTCTTTATATAGAGAGATAAGAATGCTATACAATATTAAATTGCACTTACTGCATCATACAACGAAGATCGTCTCCTGCAAAGTTAAAATCTCCCAAAAAGTCTTGAAACGTTATTTGTGTGCGGTCTTTTAAAAATCCAGCTACAGCGAGGTCCTTTAAAAATTGAAATAATTATGATCGAAAATATCTGATAGGTTATAGCACTGGGTAATATGTCACGTAATAATATATATTATATACACATTTTTTATACATTAAGGTTTTCATTATATTATATACTAGCTGTCCCTCGCGACTTCGCCCGCGTGGAATTTACTACGATTTCGTGGGTTTTAATTTTTTTTGCGGATCCCTAATTATTTTTCTAAAATAAAAGTATCCTAAGTTACTCCTTATAACATCAGCTATCTGCCATTGAAAGTCCCGTCAAAATCGGTCCAGCCGTTTTGGAGAATAGCCGGAACAAACAGACAGACAGACAGATAGACAGGACAGACAAAAATTTTAAAATTTGTTTTTTTTGTTACTAGTTATTTGTTTTAGTTTCATATGCATTTAGTTAAAAGCTGTTATTTTAACATTACAAACAGACACTTTTTTATAGGAGAGGGGCAAACGAGCCTGCGGCTCACCTGATGGTAAGTGACTACCGCCGCCCATGAACAACTGCAACACCAGGAGAATCGCAGATGCGTTGCCGGCCTTTTAAAAAGGAGTAGGCTCTTTTCTTTGTATAGATGTTTACTACCTCTATTTTGTTCTGAACGCGTCCCTTCCCGACTCTGACATTCACCTCTGCAACTTAAATTTGCTTTGTCACTCTTTCCTCATTCATTCTTTCTACATGATCAAACCACCGAAGCATTCCTTTCTTAATCCTGGTCACAACGTCATCTTGCAAACCACATTCTTCCGTTATCACACAATTACAATTAAAAAGGAGTAGGCTCTTTTCTTTGTATAGATGTTTACTACCTTTATTTTGTTCTGAACGCGTCCCTTCCCGACTCTGACATTCACCTCTGCAACTTAAATTTGCTTTGTCACTCTTTCCTCATTCATTCTTTCTACATGATCAATCCACCGAAGCATTCCTCTCTTAATCCTGGTCACAACGTCATCTTGCAAACCACATTCTTCCCTTATCATACAATTACAATTAAAAAGGAGTAGGCTCTTTTCTTTGTATAGATGTTTACTACCTCTATTTTGTTCTGAACGCTTTCGGTTATCGTTGATTTCAATTTGCGTTTCCGTTTAGGTCTTTTTAATTTAAGCTTTATTGTTTCAGGCATTTTTTCTTCACTTCTTTTATAATCGTTTTTCAAAGCTTTCTTTAAAATTTTTAGTTCTTCCCTGTAATGAAATACAGTTAATATAAATTAAATGCCTGTATTACTTTCCGTCTTACTTTTGAATGACGCAAGAGGTGCTGGATTGATGGCGAGAAATATCACCCAAAAACGAAAACTTAAATTCATATTAAATGACACAGGCAACAGCAATATAGCAACACAGCAGATAGTGTTTACATATTGACTTTGCTTTTATTTACTTGCCTACCAAGCTTGGTGTCAGAATAATTATAAAAAATATAAATATTTGAAAAAAACCTGGCCAGCAGTTGGCGTTTAATAGTGACAGTAGTAGATAAAATGTTTATGATTTATTTCAAGTATATTTATATTATCATTCAAACAGTTCAATACGTCTTTAAAAGAGACAATTATAAGATAAAATTTTGTCGAGGAAACTAAATAAAACCATACTACAAACTTTCGTAATTATAATTATATACGAACCTCATTTCTTCATCAACTGTTTTCAGTAATTCCATTTTAACGTCCATATATGCATTGTTTTTGTCTACATCTTTCACAGATCCCTCTTTGACTCCTTCTGTTTCCCAGTAATCAAGGTCTTGCCAATCTTTTTTATAATTTTTAATTACCTTAAAAAATGCAAAATATAGTTCTCATAATTAGATAACTTTTCGGCTTTTACTTCAACTATAATCATTATCACTGTCTACCGTAAAGCCCTGCACCGCAAATCACTGCTGGACATAGGCCCAATAAAAATACTGTCGCAAAACACGGCCCTAAGCCATCTGCATCTATTAACTTCCTACATCTCTTATTAGATCGTCACCGTATCATATCAGATTGGTTGATGATATTTGGTCTATAAGGATTTGACATCCATGTCATGACATTAAATTGCAGTTTTATTATTCTTATGTTATTTTCAACTGAATAGAGTTTGATAACACATGTAAGAAATCAATTTATTCTGTGTGGCATTAATAGAACTGTGCTTTTTGGTAACCAATAGAAGAGTGGAATATTTAGCAGTAGATTTGTGTTCTGTTATGATAGTGAAGATAATGTCTTATAGTTTTCGAATATGTTGGGATGGTGGATAGTATTGCTAATACATTTCCGTAACCTAAGTATTTCACCAAACATTTTGAATAAATCGTTATAAATAAAATATATCGTTAAAAGTAAAAAAGTTCCCCCACACAGATAATTTATGATAAAATTATTCGTATAATAAGCACGTACACACGAATGGCACTTCGCCGAGAACGATAATATAAAAATATGTTTGCATCAATGAACTACGATAGCCATATTGATATTGAACCTTTGAAAGTGGCAGTTAATTTATCAGTCAAAGCAATTTACATTCTTAAATATAAATGAAGGAACTTTTTCATATTTTCGTAAACTTTTTTTTCTGTCTTTTGGTTTTGTTTAAATAGCTTTCTTTTTCTCTAAAGAACAAAACCACAACAATTAACGATTTAATCTATTTACAAAATCGATATTGTTTCTGGATGCAAAACAAAAAATAAAAGAAATTGTTTGTTAATGAAATTCTACTTTATTTAAACAAACCTTTAGAATATATTCAGTTGTCTTAGAATCCGGGTAGTAAAATCCGGGATGTGCTTTGGGGTTTTTCATCATTTTCTGTAATAATGCCTCTTCTTGTTTCCTTTTCCTAAATTCTTCTTTCTTAATCTCAATTTCTTCTCTTTTCGCTTCCGTTTTTTCCCACTTTTTCTATTATAAATGAGTTAGAATTTAGAAATGAAAGTTACTTTCAGAATAATATACACTTCATCTAAAGTGATAAAACGTTATCTATAACTTTCCCCTTAACTTGATCGTATTTCCGATAGTTTAATTATTAAGTCAAACAACTATAAAGTTTATTTTAATTATTGTAAAAACCTGAAGTGCCGTCTTGTTTTTATTAGCTTTCTTTTCTTCTAAGTACGCTTCATATTGTAATTTCCATTCTGAAGGAGTTGGAACTTCGTCTTTAAATATCAATGCGGAACCACCATGCTCTTCTTTTGGTATATCATAAAAGAACTTAACTTCTTCAAACCTATTAACAATTTTGATATCTTATCTAGTTGCTTATATTTGAAGTAGCATTTAGTATAAATATTTTAATAACCATTTCCAAAACCAGTATCTAATTAGCTCTCTGTAGTCATCGCTAATTTTGTCTTCTTCTTTTTTTAAGTAAATTGTTTTTAGCTCTTCGTAATCAGATTCCCAAGCTTTCTCATAATATTTTTGCTTATTAAGTCGTTGCTCTTTTATCTGTAAGTAATTGCTAGGTTTACATGCTTTATTTTTTTAAATATCATTTTTTGAATTACACATGTACTTACTTTATCATTTTTAACTTTTTCTACTAAGACAAACTTTTTGCACAGGTTTATATGAAGTGCTTCGTCGACTTTGCATTGAATAATTTGATTTCTCTTAATTTTAAAATATGCTCTGAAATAAATAATATATTTTAGTTTATTTGTAAGTACCAACATTGAATATTTAGTGACACAATGGCGTAATAAACATAAAATATAAACATAAACACTCACTCCTGTCACCCAGAGGGGAGCAGAGACTACAGACTTCCATTTGGCACGATCCTGACATACCTTTCTTGCCTCCTTTACATCCATATACTCGTATCTACGCATACACGCTCGTCGGTTAAGTTACTCCTAATCTGGCCCATTTTCAATATATTACCAATTTGGTTGATAAACCTTCGCCTAGGGTGTCCCTTCCCAACTTTCGTTCGTTCATTCTACTCGTGTGGCGTACCAAAAAGGTAAAATAGTCGGCTAGCCATTTAGTTAAGCTCTCGTATTCAAGAGAAGGTCTAAAAATGGTTGGCCAAATCACCAAACGTAATGTTTGACAAAAGGACTGACTAATGTGTATCCCTCTGGCATGGGCATAGAGAGCAGTTGTACCCTGCTGAAGAACTGCTAGACAGTGTTGGTTTATTTCTCGGGTAGAGTAATAAAACATCTAATACGAACCACTTTAGACGAGATATTAGATTTTATAGGCGTAAGCTACGTCCAAGCAACGGAGAATAAAAACAATGTTAATCTTATGCTTTCATATTGCTTCTTTTATCCGTGACATTAAACGAAATTAACAGTAACGGTGATTAATTATTATGAGACTCGTGGAAATCTTTGTTTAAAATAATGTTTAATTTTTAATTCTATTTGGATTCTTTGTAGGCTAATCTATATTTCCTGGTGTTATACGAGTATTTATCATAATGCACCATTAAATTAGATTTTTAATTTTTTAGTAATTTACACCAAAATTACTACCGCATTACAAGTAGTCCAGTTAATTTTATTATTGAGTCCAATGAAGTTTTTTCTATGATATCTGAAACCTACCTGAAAATGTTTTGAATAAGTCTAGCAGCTCTTTCCTTCACTTCAAATTTAGCTTGAGGTTTTAATGTACCTCTCAGTTCCTTTTCCCACATTTCTCTTTGTAGTTTTCGTTTCGTCATGGAACGTATAACTTGACTGTAATAAAAAAAAAACATTAACTTTAACTCTAACTGTCTAATATTTGACGAATGAAAACAATTTAGCAATTTAGACGTACCGAGACCGCTCATGTGCCTGTATAAGTTTAATCATTTCAATGCGTTTAATACTTTCTTCAGAAAGTTTTTCATTTACTTTAGAAGTATTGGCTTCTTTTATTTTATCGTTATCTTCTTCATCTACTTCCCACCAATTTTCAACAATATTTTCTGGAGGTGGTGTATTTTCTTCTTCTGTAGTTTTAAATGTTGAATTAAAGTTACGTCAGGCGGTTTAGCCGTGGTAGCTCAGAGAGTTAGCGCTCATTGTAAATTTTAGTATACGCGAGCAACCGAGTTCGATGCCCGCCGGCACCAATGAAATTGTCAGTTGCAATTTTAAGTGCCGATTTACCACTTGCTCGGCGATGAAGGAAAACAGCGTGAGGAAACCTGCATGTCCGAGAAATAAAAAAAATATTTCTTATACATGTGAAGTTCGCCAACACGCATTGGGCAGCGTGGCGGACATTTCCTCATTTCAAATTAGGCTAAGGAACCTAAAAACCCTCTCAGAAATGAGGGGAGGCCTGTACCCGGCAGTGGGACGTATATAACTTTAATAGATAGTTGAATAATTAAATGAGATATTTTAGCGTATTTGAACGCGTATCGACTTAAAAATTTGGACGTCTATCTTGAAGAAGAAATTTTAGGTGTTTACCATATCATAAATAGTTGTCGCTTGAGGAGACATCTCTTATAATGGGGGTATCTATACTATAAGCTTGTTAAATATAAAAACTGACTTTCGAGGCACAATCAGAACCCTATGAGGCAATCAATGGAGGAGGATATATTCAGCAGAGGTTTTTGATAGGCAGGAATAGTAATGGTAATGTTATGTTTTCTTATATTAACGCGAAGACTACACATTAAATGAAACTAATCTTTACGAATTTTTTCGCGTTTAATTTAACTTTTTAATTCCCGAAGTTTCGGATGCTTCGCAGCACCCATGGTCGCTGAGTGGACGGAGGTGTTTGACGTCCCGATGTCATAGTTAGCCCGGCTACCATCAGTTTTTGAATATTAATTTTTACAGTACACTACAGTACTTACAGTATTTTGAAGTCTTGCATTGGTATGCTTGTGTTTGGATTTAATTTTATTAATGATTGGATCTCAAGCAGATGGCAGCACTCATCCATCTTCTCTATTGAAATTAGTATGTTTTTTAATTTCAATAGCCTCGCGAACCATCCTTGGTAGGAATCGGTGTCCTTTTGCGAGGTTTGTGGTCTATCAAAAGTCGCTCGCGTCCATGGGCTTCGACCACCTAAATATAGGCCCACCCTACACGTGTCCCCTGGGTGGTGCTAAACGAGCGACAAAGCCGAAACGATAGACTCGGCTCCTCGCCGTATGTTAGCGGCGTAAAATCTACCACCCCTTATGTCGCACCATGAGCCAACAATTAAAAGAAATGGCCCCGAGTTCCCGGCGCCCCTTTGATGGGGCAGGGGTGCGAAGAATCTCTGGGAGGAAAAGCGGCGACGAGGTTCGCCACCCGTCACGTCCTGTCTCCCGGAGGGGCGAAAAGTGGATTGCGGAGGCCCGTCTGGCTACGCTGAATGTATGTGGAGCAATGAATGATAAGATGGATGAAATATGCGAAATGATGAATGGTAGAGGAATAGATGTGTTATGTGTGAATGAGACGAAACGAAAGGGAAGAGATGTCACTGCATATGGCATGTATACCGCTTACTGGTCTGGTATAGACGAGACCGAGCGCGCATGCAAAGGAGTCGGTGTCATCCTTTCAGAAAGAATGGGTCAATGTGTGAAAGAGTATGAATGTGTAAGCCCAAGGCTGCTGTGGATACGAATGAAAGTGGGCTTAAAGAAGTTGTTCGTGCTTGGGGTGTACGCCCCAGATATGTCTAAGACCACTTATATCCGAGAGCAGTTTTGGGACATAATAAGGCTGGTGTTGACGAAATGTAAGGAAAATTAAAATATTATTATGTTAGGAGATTTTAATGGAAGAGTTGGGGTGAAGAGGTCTGGTTATGAAAGGATATTAGGAGCGTTTGGCGATGAAAGAATAAATGAGAATGGTGAAGACCTCCTCACCATATGTGTGGAAAAGAATCTTTTTGTGGCGAACACTTTCTTTCGCCATAAGAGGATTCACATGTATACTTGGGAAAGAGGGGATGATAGAAGCATGATAGATTTTATAATTGTGGATGAAAGAATGAGGAGTGCAGTGGTAGATGCAAGGGTTTACCGTGGGTCCAACGTAGGGACGGATCATTACTTGGTCTTATGCCGAATTAATGGTCTATTCGGGCGTTGGCGGCATCGGACATCTGTGTCTACCAGTGCGTTACAGCGTATAAGAATAAAGAGGTTACAAGATGAAGGTGTGAAAGAGAAGTATAAATGCAGACTGAGGGATAATATAAGTGTGTTGAATGAATTGTGTATGAATGATATAGACTTGAAAAATGTATGGAATAATGTTAAGAACGTTTCGGTGGATACAGCCACCGAGTATGTGGTGTAAGTAAGAGAACGAATGAAAGGAAACGTAATACGTTGTGGTGGGATGATGAGCTACGGATGGAAGTTGAAGCAAAGAAGAGTGCATGGCTAGATTTACTAGCAACCAAAACTGGTAGTTCTGGTGGTATGAATGATGAGATTGAAAGAAAAAAGCAGACATTAGACGTATAAATAAGAGAGTAAAAGAAGTTTTTGAAAGGAAAAAGCAAGAAAGGATAGATAAGAATGATAGAAGAATATCTGATAACTTCCAGGCAAATATTAAAATGTTCTGGAATCTCGTAAGAACTGCCAAGGGAAATTCAAAACAGTCTAGAATGAATGCTATAAGAGACGAGAATGGCTGCATGCTGAATGATGAAGTTTCGAATTTAAAGAGATGGAAGGAATACTTTGAAAGCGTGTTTATGAGTAGAGTCGTCTGAAGTAAGTGAAATACAAATTCTGGAAGAAGTGGAGAGAGGTAAGGAGATAAGTGTAGATGAAATAATGAAAGCAATGAAAAGCATGAAAGCAGGTAAGGCAGCCGGATATGAAAGAGTATCACTCGAAATGCTAAGGGCTGGAGAGGGTGTGGTTGCAGGCCTGCTGTACACCTTGTTTAATTTATGTTTGGAACTGAAGCGAGTACCGGAAGACTGGTGCAAAGCCGTTACAGTCCCAATATATAAGGGAAAGGGGTCGCAGCAGGACTGTAAAAACTACCGTGGGATCAGCTTGCTTAGCATTGTGGGTAAACTGTATGCTAAGGTGTTAATTGAAAGAGTTATGGAAGAAACTGATGGAAAAATTTGGGATGTGCAAGCTGGATTTACAAAGGGGATAGGGTGTACGGATCAAGTCTTTTCCATGCACATGATTGCGGAGAAATTTTTGGCCAAAAAATAGAAAGTTTTTTGTGCGTTCATGGACTTGGAAAAGGCTTATGACAGAGTGGACAGGAACGTGTTATGGCAAACACTGACCTCATTTGGGTTGAGCGCTGGTCTGATACAGGCATTAAAGTCTCTTTATAGGGACTCTAGTGCTTGTGTCAGGATTAACGGGGCCTACTCGAACTGGTTTGGCATTCAAAAAGGTGTCAGACAGGGCTGTGTAGCTTCTCCGTGGCTGTTTAACCTATTTATGGACAGTTGTTTGCAAACTTTGAAAGTTGAAGAATGTGGGTTAACCGTCAAATGCCTTTTGTATGCCGATGATCAAGTCATATTTGCATCGTCGGCGGCCGAGTTGCAAATGACGGTTAATTTAATGAACTGGTCATTAAAAGAAAGGGGTATGAAAGTGAACGGAAGTAAGACGAAAGTGATGGTTTTTGAAAGAGAAGAAAGTAAAACGTTATGTGAAATAAGAATAGAAGGGGATTTGATTGAGCAAGTGGATGAGTTTGTATATTTGGGATGTTTATTTAGTAGGGATGATAGATATGATAAGGATATAGAATGACGAGTAAACGCAGTAAATAGAGTTAATGGGGCTCTACACGCTATTATGAAGAGTCAGAATGTGTCAAAGAAGGCACGTATGGCAATTTATAATGCTGTGTTAGTCTCTACTTTAATGTATGGTAGTGAAAGTTGGGTATGGCAGAAGAAGCATGAGAGTAGAATAAAGGCTGTAGAAATGCGGTCATTACGGAGTATGCTAGGGCTAAATCTGAATGACAGGGTGAGAAATAGTGTGATAAGAGAAAAGTGGGGTTTGCAAGATGACGTTGTGACTAGGATTAAAAAAGGAATGCTTCGGTGGTTTGGTCACGTAGAAAGAATGAACGAGGAAAGAGTGACAAAGCAAATTTATGTTTCAGAAGTGAACGGCAAAGTCGGGAAGGGACGCCCTAGACGAAGATTTATCGACCAAATCAGCGATACATTGAAAATGGGCCAGATTAGGAGTACCTTTAACCGACGAGCGTGTATGTGTAAATATATGGATGTAAAGGAGGCGAGAGAGGTGTTTCAGGATCACGCCAAATGTAAGTCCGTAGTCTCTGCCTACCCCTCTGGGTGACAGGCGTGAGTGTTTGTATTGTATTGTATTGTACAAATATAATGTAATGGCGGAGATGATCTTGAACATGTTCATACACTGCAAACTTCCTGGAACGTCGGTGCTTCAAGTCAGTTATATGTTAATGAACATCCGTAAAAATTAGTTTCATTTAATGGTAATGTTTTCGGAACCCATCATAGTAGGTAGCTACTTCGTCTTTGTGATTAAATACGAGGAATGTAGAGACGCAGTGACGGATGACACAGTTATAAGTACTTGTACAGTACATATAAATAGTAACTTTCGTGTAGTTTATTCACCCATTTCCTTTGACACACAATGAAGTCTAAAGTAATACACGTGTTTACTAATACCTTTATGAAGAGCTGCTTCTTTCTCCTCGGCAGCTCTCAGTAGGACTTCATCTATCATAGCTTGCATATGTTCGGATCTCTTTACTTTACTGGGTATATCTTTTAGATCTGCATTGTCAAAAGTTAGCATGTGTTGGATCAAACCGTTGCCAAGGAATTGATAGTTTTGGCTTTCTAATTTTCTTAAATGACGTTTTAGTTCCAAAATTCTGTAATAAAACTGTTGTCACTTGATTTTTTACTTACAATAGCAGTAGTTTTACGTACATCCATGAAAAAAATTACTTTTAAAGTTGTAAAATTCATAGGAATGCAAAACGCAACCCACCTGGCAGTAATGGCCTTGACAACATCTTCTATATAGCTAGTCTTTTGCATCTGCAGGTTCTGGTGCAAGCAGTCTAAGCTGTCGTTATAAAGTGCCATATATTTCACCAGGATTCCGCCCAAACGTTGCGCTGCTTCACAGCAAGTTCGATCGTGTGCCTTAATAGTCTAAAGTTTTTTTAACAAAATTATTAATTTTACAATGCCTCGTAAGCTTAGTCCTCAGAGGTGATAACGCATTTGCACTTTTTTTCGACATAGACGATGGAGGTGAGTGTCTGCGTCTGATGCGTGTCTGTGTCTGATGCGTATGTCTGAGAGTGAGGCCATGTGCTACAAAATCTTCTAAATATAGTCAAATTATATAAGCTTATTTTACTCCTTCATAGCTCGTCACAAATCAACTGCTGATCTGAACATAGACCTCCCTCAAGGAACGCCACAAAACACAGTCCTGATCTACCAGCATTCATCGACTTAATGCATGTTCTCACGCTCTAAACAAAGCTTACTGGTATGAAATTGAAAGTCGAGAACCTTTCGGTCCGATTCTCTTTTATTTCTATACAAATGTAAAAAAAATCTATGGTCTTTCAATGTATAGTGTCGCGTAAATATAACAAATCATTATGCGGATTGTTCACTAATAGCTACAACGGGTATCATGCCATGCCATCATGGTATCTATTAATTTACACAAAATTTCGATTTTATTCCTAGAATAGAAATACATATTGTGACATGAAATTATATAATAGATTATGTCTTGCTAGTTATCCTAAATAAAATTGAATAAAAAATAAATGTAAAACATTCTCAGTAAATAAGTCTTTACAATAAGACTTCACCTGGTACTCAAGATCAACCAACACATGCTTTTCTAATTCTTCTAGCACTCGTTTCCATTTACGAAAATAATATTCTCTCATTCTACTGGAATTTTAAATAAACTAAAAAGCACGCAAGTCATAAAAGTATATGAATGGCATTTGCATGTAATCAGGTTGGCCAAGCAAAATTTTTTTTTATAGTATAAGGGTGACAAACTAACACACAGTCCACCTGATGGTAGGTAGATATTATGGTCCATAGATATCAAATTCTATTCTCGATTAGGAACCAAAATATAGATGTGTTATCACCTCTGAAAACTAAGCTGGACTGCCTAGATTCCAGTAAGAAGGGCCTCCGGTTATCTAGACTCATTATGCGAAACATGGCAGCATTTATTTAACGCTGGTATTCTGTGAGAGAGTGGTCATTTTCCGGTCGAGCCGACCCATTCGTGCTACTACCATAATATAGTTGCAGCGTGACTCTACCACGTATTAAATATGGTTGCACAAAAATGATTGTGAACAGCTCATGAATGGACATGGGTCTTATTCATAGGTATCGGAATTGTCATGATCTTCGTGCTTGGTAACTGGAACCACAGATTACTGTATACCAGACTGGAACTGTGTATTGGCGGTGTAATAATCTCCACTACCACATACCGTTCCGTGGGAGGCGACATATGGAAGCAAAGCATGTTATGGGCAGCAGAGCCTTCCTAACAAAATCAAGAAAATAAAAAACCGGCCAAGTGCGAGACGGACTCGAGCATGAAGGGTTCCGTATCACACTAATAAACGTTTCTAGTAGGGGAGCCCCTTCTAATATATAATTTATTTGAAATTTTATTATTTGTTGTTATGTATGTAATGCAACAGAAATACATATTCTGTGAAAATTTCAAGTGTCTACCTATTACGGATCATGAGATACAACCCGCTGACAAACAGACCGACGGACGGACGGACAGCAGAGGGTACCGTTGGCTATCCTTTGGGTACGGGACTGCCGTTGCCAATTCCAATTCACCTGCCAAGCCTGGCGACTATGGCAAATATCCCCCCCCCCCTATTAGGGGGCAATTTATGGCGCTTTTCTATGTTCAACAGTGGATTTTTTGATAGGCTATAATGATGATAGTGATTGGTAACTGGCTCTGAGTCACAGTACCAGAGTACAGACGTTCTGCACAGCACCTTACTTCCCGTTGTCGATCTATGTATTTAATTATAGCTTAAGCAGTGCGTAGAAAGGGTTACAGCCGCCCCAGACCGCTAGAGCCAAAAATGTAGCACCCACCGTGCCTTCCGTTTCTTATTTTAAAATATTTAAAATTGGATTTTGGAGATTAAAGTATTTGCATAATATTTTAAAGTGAAATTATCTAAATTTTTTACAGTTTTACAGGGACTGCAAGGGGTACATAATAAAATCATAAAAATACTTTTTTGTTATCCGTATCTAACACCAACTTTTAAAATTTTCAATGAAACGTAACTTATGAACGTACAACAACTACATATTATATATAATACATAGAAAATAGTTGATAAAACCATCGATACTAAATTCTCTTTTGTAAAATAATCACAAATTTGTAAACAGTCTTCGTCGATCTTACTTTTACTACGAAAGGTACAAACAAACTACGCAAAAAAAAGCATTACCTTTGAAGGAGTACAGATTTATAATAAATTGCCTTGTAATATAAAAAATGTCTCAGCTGTTTCAATATATACTTGAACATTTTCACCATTGTATTGAGGCTGTGAAGATATTGACTGAATGTTCGCCGACCATTAGAATGTGTTTGTTAAAATATTATTATTTTCTTGTAAGTGGCATTGTTTATCTTTTTGAAAATAAATTTCTGTAAAGTTAAATTTTAATAACTGATTTTTTCATCTTTTTAGCAAGTACATGTGCATTGTATATTAAATTTCGGAACTTTCAAAGCGAGAGGAGATTTCAAACGGATATTAAATTTCAATGCCATCCGGGGTAGTTGCTACGACACTGAGGATATAAGATGTTTTTTGCTTCTATTTATCTAACGTTTATTACCTGTTTATGACCTAGATCTAAATGGGGCATAAAATCATTAATTTAAAAAAGTTACTTTATAACAATAACTTTACGAAATCAAATTTTTAGCTTTTAAAGTCTTTTCTTTTATTACGTAAAACGATAAACAAATAATAAATTATATTTGTCACCTAAAGGTGTAAAATTTCAAAAGCCATTCGGAGCTGGCAAAGGGCAAACGATCACCATTACGCGTTATCATCGCCAGCGGAAAACCCTACATCATACCCAATGAGGGAAATAACCGATTCAACTTGGCAACGGGACTTTTGCATTGCCTTCCTTTCAAATACATCGTCTCCAAACAGCTTAACTTTTGTGGCCGTCGAAGAAAATTGCACTGTATTTTAAACTGGTTTAGCTGATTTTTGTGAATCAGAGTAATGGATAATGGTCATTTTTGTGTATTTTATTTTTCGTGCTGTAAAATTTTTAGGCGATTACGGGAATTTATACTTTGTTTCACGTTGTTAAAGTATAATTTTAAATGGGTACGTTTTGAAAGTTGTACAGAAGTCAACAGTCTACTACAACTAGTAAAGAAATCGTAATTAATATTTTTATGCCGAATTCTTCTTTGGTCATGCAGAAAGAATGAACGAGGAAAGAGTGATAAAGCAAATCTATGTTGCAGATGTGAACGGCAGAGTCGGTAAGCGACGGCCTAGATGAAAGTTTATCGACCAATTTGGTGATATATTGAAAATTGGCCAGATTAAGAGTGCCCTTAACCGACGAGAATGTATGTGTAGTTATATGAATGTAAAGGAGGCGAGTGCCAAATGGAATAGAATAGAATAGAATAGATATGGGCATCTCCTACTGTGAGGAAGATTGTAAAGCGAATCGCCACGCTTAGCTGTAGGTTGGCGATCGCGATACCAATTGTTGCGTATCTTTGAATCTGCTTCCCTTAATATTTGGGTATTTTTCGTCTGACATATAAAGGTTATATCATCACTTGTATAAGGTCATAAATCATTTATGGAGTCTAAACAGCGACTAGTAGCGACTTAGGATAATATCTTAAGGTGAAAGCGCCAGGGTAGTCCGCGAATTTCAAATTTTCTTAAGATTTTTGCAATTTGCATGTCAGGGTCAGGTCGAAATTTTAACAAAATATAATTCGCGACCGTAACGAGTATGTATTTACAGAATTCTTATCATTAAAATCACTATTACTACCATCTATGTTCATATAACCCCATTTAATGAGTTTTTCTGGAAATGTCCATACCATAGGATTATTCGAACTTAGAGTTGTAGTGTGTATAGAACTTAGGGTTGTAGTGATGATTGTAATGATTATAATTCTGTAAATACATACTCGTTACGGTCGCAAATCATATTTTGTTAAAATATTCAACCTGACCCTGACATGCAAATTGCAAAAAACATAAGAAAATTTTAATTTCGCGCGCTACCCTGACGCTTTCACCTTAAGGACAGTTAGCATTTATTAATGTAATATTATGCAAGAGATCTTTACAATGTAAATTTTAATCTTATAAATAAATATCTTATCCATCCATAATAGCTAATAAAAGTCTACTGCTGAGTATAGCACCGATAGAATACAATAGACGGAGTTTTGCCATAGTTAACCAACCTTTTTTTTTACGTGGGGAAATCCTCATGAAATCCTCCTCGTACCTTCCGCTTCGGGGGCAACAAAAAGGTTATGCCGGACTCATACCGGCTAAAACCCCACGGTGGTCATCATCAGCGTATACGAGGGGTCCCGGGATCTCCGTTTGGAACGCAACCGGGGCCCCTCCATCGCTTTGCTACGCTTATAGCACGCGCCGGGGACAGAAATTGCTGCCCCCAGCATCCTTGCAGTGCTATCACGATGTCTCGAGACCACTTTCGAGTCATCGTCCTCTTCGGGGGTTACATTACTAGACGTTCGAGGCCCCTGCCCCGAGCGTCTGCAACCCCGGAGGCCCCGTTTTTAGTGGCAACGTCGTCTCCGCGCAGGATCCGCCCTCTCCCGATCCCGCTCAGAAGCCTCCTTTTGAATCATAATAGATTCACAGAAGGTGGCTACGGCCCTCCACACCGAATCCCCGCTCAGCATCGCCGACGCGACTGCTGGCAGGGAGAGGTACCGTCCAATGCGGTTCACCAGAATCGTCCGCTCCCGTTCCCACGCTGGGCATACTGCGAGCGTATGGGAAGCGGAGTCCTGGTCCCGTCCACCACAGTGGAAGCAGTTCGCCGTCGCCTCGCGTCCGTTCTTACACAGATAATCACCGAAGCACCCATGCCCGGTAATTATCTGTGTAAGTCTGTAGGTGAGTCTTCTTGCTCGTCACTGCTTCCAGGCTACGAAGACCGGCAGGATTGCTCCAATGACGCGTTTGTGTTCATAGCGCTCCTCGAGTCGAGTGCGCCATGTCGCCAGGGCGTTTTGTCTTTCCTGCCGTTTAATTGATTCGAGCGCCTCTTCTGGCTCACTACCACCGCTCTGGCGGATGGCACGGATTCGTTCGTACACCCTCGCGTCCATCTCTGCCAGTATATCTAGTGGTGGAAAGCGAGCCAGGATTGTCACCGCCTCAAAGGATATAGTGCGGTATTCTCGTACGATCCGTATGGCTATCCTCCGCTGGACACAGAAAATTTTAGTTCTACAGCGTCGGATGGCCAGCCTTTTTGCCCATACAGGCGCTCCATACAGAGCTACGGACCGTATAACTCCCGCATAGAGGCGACGTACTTCCTCCATCGGTCGCCCTAGATTGGGCAGCAGTCTATGCATTGCACCCACCACTCTTTCGATCCGGGGGACTAGGTGTTCGAAATGTTCTTCGAAGCCTCAGCGACTGTCAAGGTGGAGGCCTAGGTACTTCATGTACCTCCCCACTCTGACTTTGGACCCACCCACGCGGACGCACGAGTCGGGTGGTTCCCTGCCCCGTGGTAATTTATGGAACCATAGGGCCTCGGTCTTTTGAGGCCCTATTTCTAAACCCAACTCGTGGATTTTGGCGACGACGACTTC